CCCCCAGAGAGCATGGCTTCTTAAAATGCTAATTACTTGGCTGGCATGGTGATCCTATCCAGTATCTCCCAGAAGTGAGTCCCCCCCTCCCCCGGACTGTATATAATGTATGTGTATATATATATATATATAGTATCTCCCAGAAGTGAGCCCCCCCCTCCACCGGACTGTATACAATGTATATATATATACAGTATCTCCCAGAAGTGAGTCCCCCCCCCCCCCGGACTGTATACAATGTATATATATACAGTATCCCCCAGAAGTGAGCCCCCCTCCCCCGGACTGTATACAATATATATATATATCCAGTATCCCCCAGAAGTGAGCCCCCCCTCCCCCGGACTGTATACAATGTATATATATATATATATATATATATATATATACACAGTATCTCCCAGAAGTGAGTCCCCCCCCCCTCCCCCGGACTGTATACAATGTATATATATATATCCAGTATCCCCCAGAAGTGAGCCCCCCTCCCCCGGACTGTATACAATGTATATATATATATACAGTATCCCCCAGAAGTGAGCCCCCCCTCCCCCGGACTGTATACAATGTATATATATATATCCAGTATCCCCCAGAAGTGAGCCCCCCTCCCCCGGACTGTAGACAATGTGTATATATATATACAGTATCCCCCAGAAGTGAGCCCCCCTCCCCCAGACTGTATACAATGTATATATATATATATATATATATATATACAGTATCCCCCAGAAGTGAGCCCCCCTCCCCCGGACTGTATACAATGTATATATATAGTATCTCCCAGAAGTGAGTCCCCCCTCCCCCGGACTGTATACAATGTGTATATATATATATAGTATCCCCCAGAAGTGAGTCCCCCCTCCCCCGGACTGTATACAATGTATATATATATACAGTATCTCCCAGAAGTGAGTCCCCCCTCCCCCGGACTGTATACAATGTATATATATATATATATATACAGTATCCCCCAGAAGTGAGCCCCCCCTCCCCCGGACTGTATACAATGTATATATATATACAGTATCTCCCAGAAGTGAGTCCCCCCCCCCCCCCTCACATAGTTGTCATTACCACCTCACAGGATTTTCTTTTGCTTTAATGTTTTTTATCTCTGGTGTTTATCAGTTTATATTCATTTATAGAGGATGTATATATATATATTTTTAGATTTTTAGCCCAATTCACAATACATGATTACAAATATTTTGGTGAAATATCAGGTCTGACCCCTATAATAGGGAACTGTATATATCCATTTTTGTGATTGTCATCAATTGTTCAGGTACTGGCCAAATAATTTTTTTCATACATTTATGTTTTTTACCTATTCAAATTTTTTTTTACTTTTTTATGTGTTAACATTTTTATGATGTATTTATATTTATTTTTTATCATTTTAGCCCAATTCATAATAAATTATTTAAAAATATATATATATTGGTGAAAGATCAGGTCTGGCCCCTTATAGAGAGGACCTGTATATAATTTGGTTTTCGTTTTATTTTATCCATTTTTTTTTTAATGTTTGATTGGAATCGATCGGTCAGGTATTGGAATTTAGTGACTAAATAATAATTTTTTTTTTTTTTTTTAATGAAAATGTTTTTGAGACAATTTTGTGATTGGCGGTAACTAACGTTCCATGGTGAAGTATATGTGATACAACATGGCAGCGCACAAAAAAAAGGTGAATTTTTTGTGCGTTGGCAGCGCATTTATTGATGAGCAGCGACATGTCCTCTACTAATTCTGCTGTCCTAGGCGGCGGTTGTGTTGGCGCCCCCCCCCCAGCTGTTCAGCTCTGCTCAGGAAATGGTTTAATCTCGGCACAATGCGGAGTGTGATGGGGGGTCATTATATACAGATAAAGGCCGGGTGTGGCCCCCATATTGTACACTCATTTCTCTGTGTGTCTGAAGGACAATTGTCTTCTCTCTTCAATCAGCGCCTGTCCACCCCCCTGGGACCTCCTGACCTCCATTATCTGCTGCCTCTTCCTCCAGCCGCCCACCAGCCACTGTCCAGCCTGGATTCATCGGCCTGATGGATGGAGGGAGCTGGATAATCATTGACTGATGGTGGAGCTGACTCTCCAAAATGTCACCCGGCTCATCAGGGCAGCCCTGGGGTCACCACTCACAGGGGCCCAGCCCTGGGGTCACCGCTCACACAAGGGCCCCGGGAAGAGAAGCCAATAAAAGAAGAGTTGTAGGATCTGAGGAGCTTCCATGAGGGATTTCGGGTCTCTAGACAACCCCATTCCTGGAGATGATCAGTCCACCCAAAAATGATATTTGTATAAGAAATAAACATCTGGGTGGTGGGAACCCCTCATAATGGGCACGGCGGGCGTACAGGCCCGGGAACTCGGCACGGGGGTGGTGGGAACCCCTCATAATGGGCACGGCGGGCATACAGGCCCGGGAACTCGGCACGGGGGTGGTGGGAACCCCTCATAATGGGCACGGCGGGCGTACAAGCCCGGGAACTCGGCACGGGGGTGGTGGGAACCCCTCATAATGGGCACGGCGGGCGTACGCCGGGAACTCGGCACGGGGGTGGCGGGAACCCCTCATAATGGGCACGGCGGGCGTACAGGCCCGGGAACTCGGCACGGGGGTGGCGGGAACCCCTCATAATGGGCACGGCGGGCGTACAGGCCCGGGAACTCGGCACGGGGGTGGCGGGAACCCCTCATAATGGGCACGGCGGGCGTACAGGCCCGGGAACTCGGCACGGGGGTGGCGGGAACCCCTCATAATGGGCCCGGCGGGCGTACAGGCCCGGGAACTCGGCACGGGGGTGGCGGGAACTCCTCATAATGGGCCCGGCGGGCGTACAGGCCCGGGAACTCGGCACGGGGGTGGCGGGAACCCCTCATAATGGGCCCGGCGGGCGTACAGGCTCGGGAACTCGGCACGGGGGTGGCGGGAACCCCTCATAATGGGCCCGGCGGGGGTACAGGCCCGGGAACTCGGCACGGGGATGGCGGGAACCCCTCATAATGGGCCCGGCGGGGGTACAGGCCCGGGAACTCGGCACGGGGATGGCGGGAACCCCTCATAATGGGCCCAGCGGGGGTACAGGCCCAAGAACTCGGCACGGGGATGGTGGGAACCCCTCATAATGGGCCCAGCGGGCGTACAGGCCCGGGAACTCGGCACAGGGATGGCGGGAACCCCTCATAATCACTCCAGGGCTCTGGCCTCACCACCTACTAATAATGGAAGAAGCATAAAGGACAGGAGTTCAGACTTCACTGGCTGCATGCTTGGTGGCTCACCAGGTCCAGGATGATGGGCCCAGTGCAGGGGCGGACTGATAACTCATGGGTCCCATGGAAAATAGGGGATCATGGGGCCCCCAGAAAATAGAGGATCATGGGGCCCCCAGAAAAGGAATCATGGGGCCCCTGTGTCTTCACCCACACTCAAACCACTCCCAAAAAAGCCTATGAAAGGTACCAGGGGCATCTCATGGGGCCCCCTACTGACCCCGGGCCCTCAGGCAGTGCCCGAGTGTCCGAATGGTTAGCCCGCCCCTGGCCCAGAGCCTGTACCAGTGGCCAGTCTCACTTCTCTACCCTCCACCCAGAACTGATATTTCAGTGTTTGGTGGGTTCCGGGGTGGTAAGACGTCGGCTTCTAGAAGTTCCAGGACAGGAAGGGGGATGGAAGAATCCGGGGGAAGGTGACCCCGGCAGACTCCAACCACAATCAAATGATCAGATTTGGGTGGAGCCGGCCTGGACCTGGCAGCGATCATCATGGATAATTCATTGATTAGTTATTGATGAGGGTCCCGGGCCCCGATCAGGATGACAGTCCCTGGAAGGGGGGGGGGGAGTGAGCCCCCATCTGGAGTTTATTTAAGGCTGGAGGGGTAATTAGCAGAGTTTGTTTAAAGCTGTCTGCTGATGTTGGCGGAGGGGGGGGGGGGGGGGGGGAGTTTTGAGGAGGGGGGGGGCGGCTGAGCCGCGCTCAGGAAATGGGAGCCGACATGTTTACATTGCGCCAATTAGTGTAATTATTATAAATTGAGGGCTTTTTAATGAGTCCCCTCCCCCGCTCTTCCTGGGGGGAATCTGTGTGTGTCCTGAGCTGTGCTCTCCAGAGGTGCCCACCGGCCCTCCAGGGGTGCCGCTGAAAAGCGCCCCTCCACCCTCCCCCACCAAGGCGGCCCGGGTCCGACGTCTGGGCGCAGCGTGATTCCTGATTCATAGTCACATCATCATCGATGTATAAAATCGATCACCGAACTGATCAGATCCGGACGCAGGGACCTGACGCAGGATGTATATGGGATTGCGGGCCCCTGGGGGCCCCCTCACAGGCTGCAGTCCTATTCAGTCCCAATGCATGAAAAAAGGAAAAAACATTTCTAATTTTTGCAATGTGTTGTCCCGCGTACACCACGCAATACCGCACGTCGCGGTGACACACATTAATGTTGGATGGTATATATTGTGTCAGCCCTGGTTCCCCTCCCCCTCCCTCATCAGCATTTCTAAATAAAACTCTTCCATTTTCATGACATCCCTTATTTTTAGATCCGGTGATGTCATTTCTGGGTCTCTGTGCTTCTCTATGCAATGCTAAGCAGACTGTGGCTGGTGTGAGGGGCCGGCAGGGTGCTGTACATAGTTTCCTGAAGACATCACAGCCCTTTGCATCAGTACTCCTCTTGAGAGCCTTCAGTCCTAATGCAAGCAGTGGGCGGGCTCTTGGGAGGGGTTATGCAAATGTCAAAATGCCTTGATGAGGGAGGGGGGTGTCAGTCTGGAGAGAGTGGGCGTTCCTAGGCAGGTTAAATTTGCATGAAGATGTCTATGTGGGATGCTAAGGCCTTTGTTCATGAAGGAACGGAAATGCAATGAATGAAAGGGGCGGGGCATTGGACTGTCAGGCTGGGGAGAAAAGAGCTGGATGGTGCTGGACGGTGCTGGACGTCCTCCAGCCAGGAAATGAGGTGGAGCTCTGACTTACTCCATCTTCTAATGCACATTGTGAGAAGCTCCCAGTGTGCAGTGACATCAGAGGAAGCCATTCCAGTCCAGGGGAGGAGCCAGTACACCTGTGCAAGACTGAAGGGGAGGAGCCGTTACACCTGTGCAAGACTGAGGGGGAGGAGCCGGTACACCTGTGCAAGACTGAAGGGGAGGAGCCGGTATACCTGTGCAAGACTGAGGGGGAAGAGCCGGTACACCTGTGCAAGACTGAGGGGGAGGAGCTGGTACACCTGTGCAAGACTGAGGGGGAGGAGCTGGTACACCCATACAAGACTGAGTGGGAGGAGCTGGTACACCTGTTCAAGACTGAGGGGGAGGAGCCGGTACACCTGTGCAAGACTGAGGGGGAGGAGCCAGTACACCTGTGCTAGACTGAGAGGGAGGAGCTGGTACACCTGTGCAAGACTGGGGGGAGGGGCCGGTACACCTGTGCAAGACTGAGTGGGAGGAGCTGGTACACCTGTGCAAGACTGAGGGGGAGGAGCCGGTACACCTGTTCAAGAGCTTCATGGATTGGGTTTCCATGGCCGAGCAGCTGCATCCAAGGCTTACATCACCAAGTGCATTGCAAAACGTCGGATGCCGAGGTGTAAAGCACGCTGCCACTGGACTCTAGAGCAGTGGAGACGTGTTCTCTGGAGTAACCAATCACACTTCTCTGTCGGGCAATTCGATGGACATGTCTGGGTTTGGCGGTTGCCAGGAGAACGGTACTTGCCTGACTGCACTGTGCCAAGTGTAAAGTTTGGTGGAGGGGGGATTATGGTGTGGGGTTGTTCTTCAGGGGTTGGGCTTGGCCCCCTAGTTCCAGTGAAGGGAACTCTTAAGGCGACATTTTGGACAATTCCATGCTCCCAACTTTGTGGGAAGAGTTTGGGGATGGCCCCTTCCTGTTCCAACATGACTGCCCCCCAGTGCACAAAGCAAGGTCCATAAAGACATGGAGGAGCCAGTTTGGGGTGGAGGAACTTGACTGTCCTGCACAGAGTCCTGACCTCAACCCCATAGAACACCTTTGGGATGAATTAGAGCGGAGACTGCGAGCCAGGCCTCCTCCCCCGACATCAGTGTCTGACCTGACAAATGTGCTTCTGGAAGAATGGTCCAACCTTCCCATAGACACCCTCCTAAACCTTGTGGACGGCCTTCCCAGAAGAGTTGAAGCTGTTATAGCTGCAAAGGGCGGGGCCAACTCAATATTGAACCCTACGGACTAAGACTAGGGGGCCATTAAAGGTCATGTGTGTGGAAAGGGCGGGGCCAACTCAATATTGAACCCTACGGACTAAGACTGGGGGGCCATTAAAGGTCATGTGTGTGTGGGAAGGGCGGGGCCAACTCAATATTGAACCCTATGGACTAAGACTGGGAGGACATTAAAGGTCATGTGTGTGGAAAGGGCGGGGCCAACTCTATATTGAACCCTACGGACTAAGACTGGGGGGCCATTAAAGGTCATGTGCGTGGGAAGGCCGGCTGACCAATATTAAGGGCAATATAGTGTATTAGGGGTCTTCAGATGTGATAAGTGCATTTGTGTTCTTTTTTTCATGCTTTCTACTTCCTTGTTTTCTCCTAGTGATCCTGCCAGTAACACACTTCCTGTACTGAGGTGACAACGCTCGCTCACTGCATCTGTGGAGGAGTAGCGTTGTTCCTTAAGGACAGGACTACAACCACCCCCCCTCTCCTAATCTCCTTAACATAGAGGGGGAGGTGTTCTGTAGTTAGCAGAGGTGAGCTGAACAGGAGGTTAGCACACTGGATTTTCTGGCAGGATCAACTGGTTATTTTTTTTGTCCATTTAGTGAAGGTACACTTGGAACCACTTTCAATGGGATCATTAACAGACAAAAGGGAGCCAATAAGAGACCATTGTTGGGGGGGGGGTCCATAGACGTTAAGGTGGATTCTGGTGGAGTTTAAGGGTACACTGGGCTTTAGATGACTCCTGGAGCCCCGTTCACCGATCTTGGAGCCCCGTTCATTGATCTTGGAGCCCCGTTCACTGATCCTGGAGCCCCGTTCGCCGATCCTGGAGCCCCGTTCGCCGATCTTGGAGCCCCGTTCGCCGATCCTGGAGCCCCGTTCGCCGATCCTGGAGCCCCGTTCGCCGATCTTGGAGCCCCGTTCGCCGATCCTGGAGCCCCGTTCGCCGATCCTGGAGGCCACGCACTCTAACTATAAATAATTGAAGAGCCGATTCTTTCTATTTCACCAGAGAAGCTGAATTCGGTCTTCTGACGAATGTCGTCGAGTGTGAGCAGACAAACATCCCACATGGAAGTGTCGATCATCTGAGTTCACCTTTCAGAGGTCTGTGCAAGCATGCCGCATGGAGTGTAGAAATCTTCCCGGCACATCATCAGCCCCATTGTACCGGATGACAGATTTGTTGATCATTTGATTCCTGTGCACACAAGTACACAACAAGCACCTCGTATGAGGCATTGTCTGTGGCCCCGGGCCATGTGCCGGCCATGACTCAACCCAAAACAGAACGGATGGAAGTCCACAACTAGTACAAGGATTATTATTCCTGTAAGTTCTCAGAGGGTTTCCTTTTTCTACATAGATCTTTATATCACTAGAGGGGTCACCGGCAGGAGGAAGGAGGTCCCGATTCCTCTATATAGATCTCTAAATCACTAGAGGGGTCACCGGCAGGAGGAAGGAGGTCCCGATTCCTCTATATAGATCTTTATATCACTAGAGGGGTCACCAGGAGGAGGAAGGAGGTCCCGATTCCTCTATATAGATCTCTAAATCACTAGAGGGGTCACCGGCAGGAGGAAGGAGGTCCTGATTCCTCTATATAGATCTTTATATCACTAGAGGGGTCACCGGCAGGAGGAAGGAGGTCCCGATTCCTCTATATTGATCTTTATATCACTAGAGGGGTCACCGGCAGGAGGAAGGAGGTCCCGATTCTTCTATATAGATCTTTATATCACTAGAGGGGTCACCAGCAGGAGGAAGGAGGTCCCGATTCCTCTATATAGATCTCTAAATCACTAGAGGGATCACCGGCAGGAGGAAGGAGGTCCCGATTCCTCTATATAGATCTCTAAATCACTAGAGGGGTCACCAGCAGGAGGAAGGAGGTCCCGATTCTTCAATATAGATCTTTATATCACTAGAGGGGTCACCAGCAGGAGGAAGGGGGTCCCGATTCTTCGATATAGATCTTTATATCACTAGAGGGGTCACCAGCAGGAGGAAGGGGGCCCTGGTCCTTCTATATAGATATTTAGTTAGACCTCATATAGAATACTGTATCCATTTCTGGAGACCTCACCTACAAAAAGATATTGATAAGATCTGGAGACAGGCAACAAGAATGATGAAAGTTCTGGGGGATAAACCTTATCAGGAGAGACTTCAAGAAGTTAATATGTACAGTCTGGAGGAAAGAAGGGAAAGGGGGGAACATGATTGAAACCATTAAATACTTTAGGGGTGTAAATAAAGTTCAGGAGGGCAGGATTACAATATGGGGATAAGATCAACAACACGGGGACATGACCTCAAACTAGCAGGAGGAAAGTTCAAAACTAACCTTAGGAAGTATTATTTTACTGAAAGAGTAGCTGCAGCTTGGAACAGTCATCTCATCAGTAAAGTTAGACATGCTTGGAACAAACATAGATCTATACCCAATCAATCTCTCTCTCTGTGTTCAGTAGGGTTGAGATCAGAGCTCTGTGCAGAACACCCACATTCCTCCACACCAAACTGATCAAACCATGTCTTTATGGAGCTTTCTTGACTTCCTGCAAAATTTTGGATTGTGTCTGTGGGAATTTGTGCTCATTCACCCAAAGGAACATTGGTGAGGTCAGATATTGATACTGGATGAGAAGACTTGGCTTGCAACCCATTTCATCCCATAGGTGCTCAGTAGGGTTGAGGTCAGGGCTCTGTACTGGACACTCGAGTTCCTCCACACCAAACTGACCAAACCATGTCTTTATTGAGCTGACTCCACTCTCCTGGGAAGACTTCCTACAAAATTTTGGTTTGTGTCTGTGGGAATTTGTGCTCATTCACCCAAACGAACATTGGTGAGGTCAGGCGTTGATAATGGATGAGAAGACTTGGTTCACAACCCATTTCATCAAAGGTTTCCAGTAGGGTTGAGGTCAGGGCTCTGTACAGGACACACAAGTTCCTCCACACCAAACTGACCAAACCATGTCTTTATGGAGTTGTCTCCACTCTCCTGGGAAGACTTCCTACAAAACTTTGGATTGTGTCTGTGGGAATTTGTGCTCATTCACCCAAACGAACATTGGTGAGGTCAGGCGTTGATAATAGATGAGAAGACTTGGTTCACAACCCATTTCATCAAAGGTTTCCAGTAGGGTTGAGGTCAGGGCTCTGTACAGAACACTCGAGTTCCTCCACACCAAACTGACCAAACCATGTCTTTTTGGAGCTGTCTCCACTCTCCTGGGAACACTTTCCTACAAAATTTTGGATTGTGTCTGTGGGAATTTGTGCTCATTCACCCAAACGAACATTGGTGAGGTCAGGCATTGATAATGGATGAGGAGACTTGGCTCACAACCCATTTCATCAAAGGTTTCCAGTAGGGTTGAGGTCAGGGTTCTGTACAGAACACTCAAGTTCCTCCACACCAAGCTGGCCAGACCATATCTCTATGGAGCTGGCTTTGTACACAGGGGCACAGTCATGCTGGAACAGAAAAGGGTCTTCACCAAACTGTTCCCACAAGACACACCATATATTATCATTCTGCTTGTATCACTAGATCACATGAAGCAGATGTGTGAACATAGTATTTTTTACTCCATCGCCCAATAAAAATATTTAATCATTAAAAAAACACACACAGCTAAGCAGTTTAACAAATGTTTCCCCAAGTCAGACAGAGATGACTCTGCGATGATGTCACTGTACGCCGCCACTGGGAGTCACACCGGGAGTAACGAGATCTGTCTGGGGTGCCCCTGCGTATCTCATCACTGAGGGGTTAATGTGGCCCTAGAGGCAGAGGATAGCAGCACACCTGCTGCCAGACTCAGTGATGTATCTGTAGCCCACAGCTGTATATACACATATTGACAGCTATAGACCATGATGATGTGTATACCTGGGGCTAAGCCCTGACCTCCAGGATGCTCTCTAGCACTTTATACGTGAGGAGCTGTTGGAGGACACGGTGAACTCTTCCTGCTAGCAGACTGTAGAAATTGGACCAACTTAGATTCTATTGTAAGATCGTTAATGACCAGGTATGCCTCAATGTCCAGGATCATGTCCAAGTATTGGTGTAGCGCTACCCTCGTGAGGGCCACTGTGTTTCCAGGTCCCCATAAACTCCGCACAGCCAGGCAACGTGCATTTTCCACACTTTCACAAATAGTCAGTGAGCAGTCCATGAGCTCGGTTTTTGTTATTTTATTAGGGAATATAACTTGGATGGGATAATAGGGATTATGGGATGCCCAACTTGACTGAATCA